GGTCAGCTTCTTCTTAGTATATTCTAGTTGGGTAGCGCAGTGAACAACAGACTTGCAGATCTGCGGACAAACGGGAAACGCGAGGGGGAGGGGGTGGGGTGGGAGAGGGAGGAGGGAGGAGGGAGAGGGAGTGGAGGAGTGGAGGTGGAGCGAGCGCTTGGTGACCAGCTCCACGCACCTTTTTCCTCATTGAGGTTCTCGGTAATGGAAACTTTCTCGCCTCTGTTTCCCCCAGTTATCCCCCACTTCACATGCAAGTTAGCTCGAATTTCCCATCACACAGGTTGATTATTTCTGAATATCTTTAAGACTGAGGTGGGAGTTGGGGGAAGGGTAGATGTTGGGAAAGTGGTCTGAGATGGCAGAGATTTATTATTTTTAAACTATCACAAGTTTCCCTGTCCTCTCGAGACCCTCAGTTAGTCCCTTTCCTAGGAGTTATAATTTCCTGCAGGCACAGAGGTGGGAGTGAAGAGGTGGACTTAATCAGGTCTCTGCCCTAGGCCACCCCATCCTAGAAATCCCCAAGCAGTATCTATTTTGACACCAACCTGCAAAATTCCTGCCAAGTGACTCTCCTTGCCCGGTCTCAGGACCCGCTGTCGCGCTGCAGAAGGAAGCTGGTACCCAGACGGGAACAAGGACCAGACTAGCAGGACTTCTGCACACGTCGACTCCTGGTCACGTGGTATCTACGTCACCAGTGAGCTCGAGTCCCTAATTTCCACTCCCACCAAAAGCGCGGCATAAGTAAGCCCTCCCTCTGCTCCCTCCCCCTTTATACACTTGGCCCTGTCAGTCTTTTCCGTTGTTGAGAATCCCAGGGGGAAATTTTTATTTGCCTTTCTCAGATTACTAGGGAGGGCCTGCATCTTTTTCCGGAGCTACTAAACTTTTCTTCTTCTTTCCAGAATTCTCTTCCTCCCTTCTGCTCCAATATTAAGAATTCCTACAGCTATTGCCCCTCCCTCAGCCTCCATTTCATCTGCAATCTGGTCTTTGGGTTGGTTTGCCAGCGGGTTGTAAAAAGTAAAAGAGAGTCTGGGACAGGAATGCGATTTTTTAATGTAGTTTTTACTTTATTCTTAATATTTTTATATTCTTTTTTAGCAAAATCTCTTTTATAGTCAGAAAAGACAAAGACAAAATTACTTTAGTTAAATGAGTTAATGTGCACAAGTTGGCAGCTACAAAATAGGGGATGTAAAGTACAGCATAGGGAATATAGTCAATAATATTGTAATAACTATGTATGGTGCCAGGTGGGTATTAGACTTATTGGGGGGCTCAATTTTAAAAAAAATATTTTATTGATTCTAAGAAGAAGGGAGACAGAGGGATAGAAACATCAGTGATAAAAGAGAATCATTGATCAGCTGCCTCCTGCACACCCCACATTGGGGATCAAGCCCACAACCCAGGCATGTGCCCTAACCAAGCATGAAATGGTGACCTCCTAGTTCAAAGGTAGATGCTCAACTACTGAGCCACACCAGCCTAGCAGGGGGAGGGGGGGCCTCACTTTTTAAGTTATATAAATGTCTAACCACTGTGATATATACCTGAAACTAATATAATATTGAATCACAACTATAATTTAAAAAATGGAAAATGTAAAAAAAGAAGATGCTAGGGTCATCTCAGAATAGAACCTTAAGCCTCCCAGGCTAAATTTTCAGATTTAATTTCTCTAGAGCAGCAGAAACAAAGATGGGTATTCCTACTTATTTGGAAAAGGTCACAAATTGTGGAGGCTTGGAGTTTTGGTGTTGGAGTTAGCAGGAATCAAGAGACTTAGAGAAAAGCTCTTAAGCATACTCAGGAACAAATCAATCTATGACATTCAAGGGAGAGAATTCACACTTGTAAACTTTCTGAAGAGGCACATTCTCTTAGGCTCTAACTTCTGGAATTCAATATTTTTGTCACACTTGCAAAGTATGGAATTAGTGACAGCAGACTTATGTCCCTGTATCATCCAGCCAAATCATTTAGCCTCTTTGGGGACTTGGACTTTTTTTTTTATTGGTAGAAAATAATGAGACTAATGAATAAGTTCAAACATTTAAAAAAATGAATTAATGCCTATACAGTCCTGAGAATAGTGCCTGGCATATGGTAACTGCTTTAAAAGTACAAGCTATTATTATAATTATATTAGGATTTCATCTGGGGGAAAGGATTTAAAATGAAAAAAAAAGTAATGTTTTAACTCCAAAGCCCTGGTGGTGGTATTTGCCTAGAAGCTGTGCTGCCTACAGAATCATCAATTGTTTCTTCATCTGTAAGAAGGGAATAATAACATACTAGTACACCTCATATAATTGACTGTTGGGAATTCTAAATGATAACATTTGGGGAGAAGCACTTCACTTATATAAAGTCTTCAACAGATATTAGTTATCTTTCAACCTCAATTCAGTCTTTGGTAAAAGTCACAAATTTGCCAATAAAAATTGCATAGCTCTCAGAAGTAACATTTGAAAATTAATGAGGAGACATAAACATTATTATTGTTTTTTATAAGTTTTGGTGCCCCTTTGTGAGGCAGAATAAAGACCTCACTGGATTATGTGAAAAAGCAACAACATTACTATATCTCATTTTATTTCACTTGCTCTTCTGTCACATTATTTTTTCTTCTGGGAAGTGTGTGTATTTGAGCACCAGAAAACTCTAGATATCATGGTTTGAGTCTGCTGGACAGAACACTAGTGTGAGAGACAGAAGAGGTTAGTCCCAGTGTCAGATCTAGAACGTGTTACTGGTCCAAAGTTGTGCCCAATGCTTCAAAAGACCAAAACTCAAAACATCAGAGTTTGGAATAAGGAAAGGTTTATTGATCGAGAAGTCTCCAAGTGAGAAGAGGGGAACCTAATGCTTAAATCCATCTTAATGTACAGATTTCAGTCTTCTTTTATGTCATGGAAAGAGGAAATGGGGGGGGGGGGGCGGCAAAAAGTGATTGACGACCACAGACATGTGGGCGCCAGCAGAGGCCAAGGAAGATTGTGCTCAGTCTGTTGATCATAGCTGATGTAAGTCCAGGTCACAAGTTTCCTGCAAGTCTTTCATAAACAACACATGCTTCCCTTATCTCCTCAGGGAGAGTCATTCTCTGGGAATGGGCTGTTTTTGTAAACTTCAAACTGAAAGCAAAATTCCTACAATGATTAGCATGTCTATATGCACGAAGCTATCAACCATGGGAACAGCATGCTTGAACAAGATGAAGTTAGAGAGGCTGAGCATTACTCTGTTACAAACTGACCCCGTGACCCTTAATAAGTTACTCACCCTGTATCTCTAAAAAAGGAGAGCACCGGCAAGCTCTAAGAACTTTAGAAAGAAGCATGTGATTGGTAAAGCATCCTATCTAATAAAGAGGGAATATGCTAATTGACCCTCCGTTGCAAAGATGGTGGCACCCACAGCCAATAAGGAGGGAATATGCTAATTGACTGTCCTGCCCTCAAAGATGGCGGCACCCACAGCCACAAGATGGCCGGCAGGGGAGGGCAGTTTGGGGTGGCCAGGCTGGCAAGGGAGGGATAGTTAGGGGCAACCAGGCTGTCAGGAGAGGGCAGTTGGGGGTGACTGGGCCAGCAGGGGAGCAGTTAGGTGTCAATCAGCTGGCAAGGGAGTGGTTAGGGGGTGATCAGGCTGGCAGGCAGGTGAGCAGTTGGGAGCCAGCAGGGATCAGGCCTAAACTGGTAGTTGGACATCCCCGAGGGGTCCCAGATTGGAGAGGGTGCCGCCTGGGCTGAGGGACAACCCCCCCCCACCTCAGTGCACGAATTTCATGCTCTGGGCCTCTAGTTTGAATATATTGTCCTTAGGATGATTGAAACATCCTGAATGGCAGCTGTTTTTCTTCAGCTTGATGGAAATGGTTTCAGAAATCTTTAGAATGTCTGAAAAGGGAATGGTGCTTTACTGCCATTATCTCATTTTATACTCCTAACAATAATTGCAAGGAAGATATTTCTATTTTATACATGAAGAAACTAAACAGAGAGTTTAAGCAGTGTGCCTAAAGACATTATCTCCTTAGATCTGAGTAGAAAAGGCTTCCACTTGAGGCCCTGCTTTTAGAAGGTCAGTGTCTGGCCCTCCTCTCAAGGCCCTCTTCCCTGGGTAATGAAGAGTCAATGGGGCAAGATGTACCTACTCGGAGCCTTCACTTCTTTTCTTCTAAACCACACTCTAGATACCTAGGACTCTAGAATATCCTACCCAAAGCATCTGGAGGCCAAATCCAAGGCCTGCTTGTGCCTCTTCTCTGGGTCTATCCTCCTGAGAATGGGCCACATCCACTATGGGTTTACCCTAGGGGTGGAATAGAAGATATAAGTGTAAAGACAGAACCCCCTCACATGTAGCCATTTGGAGAAAGGGCTAAAGGAAAGGGTGGACTTCCAGGCAAATAGGAGCTCAGAGAAGGCAATAGCCAGTTAGCTAATTAGTCAGAGAAAACCTCAAGGAGGAAAAAGAGTTTGACCTGGGCCTGAGAGGGTGGGAAGAAAAGAAGAGACCAGTATGACTGAATCTAGGACCTATGTTCTTACCATTACCCTGGCCTTTCTCAAGCTGCCTTGCTGGGTAAAAGTCCACTTGCTCCTCCTTAGGGGTGCTTAGGTTTATTGATGATGGCTGCCATCTGAAAGTAGGTTCAATACAAACATTTTTGGACATGTTCTGCACTACCCTCAAGGACTTTTTCACTTATTTCCAGGTCATAAAATATAAATCAGTCAACCTTTCTGGATAGTATATAGGCAATTGTTAAGTACTCAAAATGTGCATTCTTTTTGAGTCTGTAAATTCATTCTTAGGTACACATCCTAAGGAAAATACTTAGTGCCAGTCACAATGATTTAATAAAACAAAC